TGAACCGTCAACCGAAAGTTCAACCGGGGCTGACCCGGGTAGACTTCCGGGTATTCCCAACCAATTGCTGATGTTTGTTTACATCGGGTAAAATAGGATGTGTCAATCCTATTTTACCCGATGTAAACAAACATCAACGATTGGCTGGGAATACCCGGAAGTCTACCCGGATCAGTCCCGGTTGAACTTTCGGTTGACGGTTCAAAACACTAAATACCGCTAACTAATAAAGTAAAATTACAATCTGAGCAGCTTTACATAATAGCGTTTTATTAAAATTAATTTGGCCCGGAAGCTCGGGTTACACGAAAAAGCAAATTTTTTGGACATCACTAACCTACTATCTATTTGTTTTGAATTCTGTTCTTTAGTACTCTAACAAAAAAACAAATTATTAACATCTAACCCTAATATACTGCAAATGCTAACCCTAACACATCAACATTTACGAACAGGAGGAACCGTCGATGGTACACAATTGACCCTTCACCCGGTGTGAAACATATAAAAAAATCATTTTACAATGCCGCTAGTACATGTAATCCCACACCATTTTATTATAATAAAAATGGTGTGGGATTATAATCATAACATGTACTACGTAGCGGCATTGCAAAATGATTTTTTTGTATGTTTCACACCGGGTGAAGGGTCAGTTGTGTACCATCGACGGGTTCCTCCTGTTACATTTACGTCCAGCAAAATTTGCGCCACAAACCTAGCACACGTTTCAAACGATGCGTGAAATTTTAGATGTGACAAGTGTAAAAGTAATTTTCAGATGTCATCCTGCAATAGGTCGAAAAAAGAATTTTTTTTTTGCTTCGAACATAAAATCTATTAAAAGAATATCACATGAGATTATAAATGATTGACATTAGTTATCGTGTACCGTTAGCTAACGCTAAACCTGAGTCAACAAGTGATATCATGTTAAAACAGAAACTAAACCATGAGATAAAAAGCATAAGTCATACGCTTTTGTAGAAGACAATTAACTATTAAGGCATAGTTTGCTACATTCATTACTTTATTTGTAACAAACATAGCTGCCTAATGTATTTCATGTAATTTCATATAAAGCTACCCTGGGGTGTCAAATAAATAAGCATCATAATCGCTATGCCATTGGAAAGTGGGGAACTTGTAAAAAGACTTTCTTTATTAGAAGATCAGAAGAACTTAATAGTAAATAGCGCTAATAAACTAAAAGGCTGGCTTGGAACCAACGACGACACTTCTTCTATAAGTGACAACGAACACGAAGAAACTGTAGCAGAAAAACTAACACCTGTTAATATGGTTCACGCTGAAGATACATTAATTGAGCGACAAAGTATTTCTACTTTGGAGTTTCGAGTTCATCATTTGGAAAAGTCGATCTTTGGTTTTGACGCAATTTCAAAAAGAGCGTCAGTACATGAAAAGTTGAAGGAGCAACAGGCATTATTAAAGCGAGTTGATGAGATCAAAAAGGTGTTTAATACAACCATACGTGATGAGGCTGACGGATTGAAATCATTTCTCGAGATTTGTAAATATTTATTTTATTTTGTTGACTATTCATTTCAGTAGAACTATATAGTCGACTCTCTCTAAGTACAACTTATTAGAACTTAACTAAGAAAACCTTGCATTTGAGAATTTATTATAGCTGCATTTAGAGATCATGCACTTAAAGAAAGTTGATTGTGTCTTTATTTTCCTAATAACTCGCTATTTAATAAATATTACATTGTGTTAATAGACGATCAGGTATCGGACCTCGTTTCTCCTTTCAAAGATTCCGCACTCGCAATGGAGAGAGTTGTACTTACACCCGAAGCTAAAGCTGAAATCGTTTGCTCTTCTGAGGAAGAATTAAAGTTAATAGCCGATAATTTAGGACAAATTAAAGATTTACAAGAAATTATCGAAGCTCCAGAATTCAAAGGTTGGTTAAACCGTTTATAATATAAATGCAATAAGAAGTATAATAACTTTATCTAAATTGGTCATCGGTTAAATTTTATTATTTTATTAAGGCTTTGATAAGCTCTTTCCTCAAGTTACACCCATTGAAACCAGTCACATTGACCAAGTGGCTAGAGCTGAAGAAACTTCTGCCCACATAACGTCTTTGTTAGACAAATATAATATATTTGTATCCTTTATCAATGACCTAGTTTTCCTTTAATCTACTAAACCTACCTTTATTATCTTTGACCAAACTTGAATAATTCTTTAGGTCAACATACTGTCGGAAATTTTTATTTCCTGGGATCAAATTCTTTCAACTCTTGATGCACATATATCCGCACTTGAGCGAGAAAAAGAATAGATTAATTTATGGATTTTATAATATGGTGCACCTGCATTGTGGTGCAACAATATAAAAATCGCATATTCCTGATAAATAAGAGAAGGGTTTTAAAATTTGGTGCACCTGCACCGCGGTGCACTCCTAGTCATGTGATAAAAATTACACAAGTTCAATTTAATGAATACTGTATTTCAATATGATTTAGTAAAACATTTTACTGCTTATGTAATATGTTTCTTGCATTATGCGAAACATTTTTCCTGCTTCATTTAACATGGACATTATAATTGACATGTTCTAATCAATATTAATCTATATCTATAGCCTACTCAATACTGATGACAAGATGGTTTCACTGTGATTATTTGTATTAGCTGCAGTTTTCTGTAATTTAGTACCTTCATTTCAAAATCATTTTTAAAGACTCGCATATTTTATATTTTATAATTTAACGGCCTTTATATTAGCGAAACTTTTCTTACCACATTATTATTATTTTGATTTTTTTTTTTTAAAAGAAAAAGGAAAAAAAAAACATGCAAGGGGGAAATATAATCATTATTTATTACTTATTTCTTTTTTTTTTTTTTTCAAACTCTAAAGTTCACATTCACAAATAATACAATCATTTTATTATAGAAATTTGAACTGCCTTCAATTTACAAGTGAAATTCTACCAATGCAATCTTATTGGTATTTAGAGGATACCTTCTTTCAATTCCTACGCAAATTAAAGTCTCAACTTATGGAGGCCATACTTATTCGTATCTATATACAGATAAGGGTCGCTTGGATTATTAAACGATTGGTTCATCAAATCCTAATAATCAGAAATTTTGCAAGTTGAGATAGTAATTACGCAAAATTCAGTAATGCTTCTAAAAGAACTTTTAAGGACGGAGTTATGCTATTTTAATAATAATCATCATCTTCCATCTTGTTTTTTTTTTTAAAAAAAAAAATACTTGTCACCAATCCATTCATTAAGTCAATCGTACATTATTACCTACGTCTTTTCGCACAAGTTTATATGGAGAGAAATGAATATCAACGAATATTATCAGTTCTTTTATTAACGTATTGTGACTGCGTTTGACATCGTTGAGCTCCTTTTTTAAAATGCTAGAATGGTGTATATATTATTATAACTCAAAAATCTGCAAAATTTATAAAGTCAAACCAATTTTCAGATTCGCATGATAAATGTTCATCGGACTGTCGTTCGATTCTTTCTGATAAAACTTCATAAATAATATTAGTTTATTTTTCTCTAATATTAATAAAGTAAATATCATCTATTTATTATTAAGCATCAGTCTGAAAATAACAATGAAATGTAAAGTTTCGGTAGAAAATTTCTACATTGCTCAACCGTATTAGAAATGTGCTTTCTTACCCAGAGATCATAGAAAATCCGTGACTTGAGTAAATAAATTACGCGACTAATCATAGGAAAAAAAAACAGTCATCAAAATTTACCCAACATTTGTTGTTCAATTTCTTGATCCAAGTTTGCGTTTCCGCCTTTAATATGGCAATTCTCTAAAAGATATCAAAAAATATACATAAACCACATTTAATGGATTAAAAAAGCGTCTTTTGCTACCTTGATGTCCTCAGACAACTATTGACTCTGTAGAGATAACTGAAATTGTAAACGCAACTATTTAAACTATAAATTAATTAAATGCGCGTAAATTATGCCCAATAATTTACGTAAAACACAAAGCTATTGAATGAGAAGGAATTACATTGTTCAGTTTTTCTTTTTCTCGAACATATATTGGTGCAGTAAAATTTGAAGAATTTTATCAATATCAGTTTCATCAGAATCATAAAGTACGTTCGGAAAATCTGATATAGTACTCTGTGCAAGAGGATTGTCCATATCTTGAAATATTCGCGTATGATGACGCGCTCAGGTCATAGGAGGACATTCGTCTGATTGACTAATGTAAATCAATTGCCCGGGTTAACTTATTTATACACTTTAAAGTACTTTTTGGGAACACAACGTTTCACTAATAAAAAAATCGTCGCAAAAGCCATTTTTCGCGTCTATATTCACTATGCCAAAATATACAACACTGCTCTTTACTATCACTTCTTGTACTTACAACAAAATTTTTAAAAAAAGTATACAAAATAGCTTTCTTCTATTAAAAAATCAGTATTGTTTACTCTTTCTAAATTTAGTTAATCTAATAGATTGCAACCACATGTTCTGAAACAC